ATTACCCTTCACTGACATTAGCCCTGTCGGCAACGCTAACGAGATAATGAGATCTCGCGAGAGAAGAAAATGGTCGTCTTCGCCGGGAAGGCGTGTCGTAAGGCGTCGATATGTCATCGCTGGATAAATAAACCGTCCGATGATATTATATGCTTCTATCTACAACCTCAAGGCATGATACGAGGATAAAAGAAGAAGATGGAATGAATACGTCAACGCGGTCGCAAGCTTTCTGGGATGAATATAGATAAAGGAATGTACTGCCTGCGTGCAGTTATCACGTTACATACATGTAATGCAGTACACGATATTGATGCACCGGTACTCTCGGCATTTTAGCCAAGCGGAAGCGTCTTATGACAGCTGCGATCCACTTGATCAGCTCCCACATCGTTGGATCAGTGTTGATGGCACGCGAGAGCTGAAAGTGGGAAACAAATAATTGAACAAACCAACACAGACAAACGACCGAAAAAACAAACAAACAAACAAACAAATGACCGAACAAACAAACAAACAAACAAACGATGAAAAAAAGAATTACCCTCCACATACTGTACATACAATATACGTGTCGATCGGCATGTATGATCCTAACAACGTGATTGTCATCGGCGAGCTAACGTTACCTATTAAAGTTTATCGTTATTATTATTATTCTACATTATTTATACAGTAATTCCGTTTATGAGTAGGACTGCTGTGTTAGTTTGCGCACGAGTCGGATAGATATTGTGACAGCAACAGCTGCCTAGATAATTACAGTTACTCAGTGCAATTGAAAAACGAACAAAACTGTATTGATACTGCAGGTTGATCTTTATACTTATATTTACTGTGTGCGCGCTAAAGCATTTAGTAGCAACAACGGTGAGCGCCATATATGCAACGTTTTCCGTTGACCGCTAGAGGGTATGATGTGCGATATAAACAAGCAAAAAAGCGGGTGTCGAATTCGATGTACAGAGAACTTGTGTACGACGAAAAAGCATCGTACTGCCTGTTTTGACAAACGAGACGCCATTGCGTGTAGAGTAGCGCTTTAATGGAAAACCACACGGACGCTGTGAGTGGAGTACTGTTCTCGGTCTTATAGCCTTGCTTTATTTTTAGAACTATATCATTGAAGCAGCACGACAGTATTGACATTGTAGAATTGAGCTCACGTGTGACAAAGACACGAAGAGAGCACGCTGCGTATAGCGCACGTATGGTGTGAGCAGGGACGTATTCTCAACAAAAGTACGTCGGACTCGATAGGTTACGGGATTCAGAAAGGCTCGATTTCACGTGGCTAAGCAAAAAATGTTTCGCTCACCGCTCTCCTCTCTTTCTATACCCCCTCTCTCCCGCTTTCGTTCTCTCTCGTTCTCTCTGCCCGACCCTCTCCCATCTCGTTTTCTCGCTTCCCTCACCTCACACCATCTCTCCCGCTGTATCTCATTCTCTCGATATTTTTTGCGATTCCACGCGTGTTCTCGCGTGAGCGACGATGTTGATCGAAGCTATCGATGGTTATACCCACCACACGTGCGCACCATCCCCGCCAGGGGACCAGCGTGCTAGGATTACGATGGCAACGCTGACGCTCGGCAACAAAGAAACTCCAATTATGTTGCACCCTCGCTTGAACAAAGCGCGATTCTGTGATGTTCCACTGATTATGCGGTCTCCATGAGGCGAGGCGCTGCGCACGGGTCCTTATAATTAGCCGCATATAATTAGCCGCTAGCACGTGCGCGCTACCTATCTCTGTCTCTCGCTTTCTCTGTCTCTCTCGGTCTCTCTCTCTCTCTCTCTCTCTCTCTCTCTCTCTCTCTCTCTCTTTATCGCTCTCGCGCTCTCTCTCTCCATCGCGAGCAGTTAGCGACGGTTTCGTTATGCGTTCACTACGCAATCCGCGCGCGCAGTCTCGTGTGCGGCTGTGACTGTTATCAATACGTCGTGTTGAATGTGCAGGCGGGCATCATAGCGAGGATATGCGTCCACTGAATTATCATTCACAATGAGAAACGATGGACACGGACACCGTGAGAGCTTGCGATAGAGATTTTTGCGCTGTACAGTTTCGGAGGATGTGTGCGATTGGTTGCGGATGTATATCAATCAGTCTTAGACATAGAGAACGCATCGTCTCTATTAAGCATGATGAGTGCCGGTGCGCGTGCGCTTCGCTGCGTGTGTGAGTGCGCACGTCTGTGTGTGTGTGCGTGCGCGTGTGTATGCGCGCGCACGTGTGATTGCGTGGATGTACGTGTTTGTGTGTTATATTTTTCGAGTAGTTATAATTACGTTTACAAACCATGCGGATGCATGGATGAAAGCGAGCGTGTGATTATTTGTCATTTAATATCGCACTCCGGTGAAACGAACGTCAATCATATGACCGACTGCGCAGATGAATTGTCTGATATCTGTTGCTATCGTACTCGTCCTCGCACTGACTGCATGCGTACGCACGCGCGTGCACATGAAAGCCACACTGAGAGAGCCTCACCTGTGAATGCTGCATCTCTCGCACCCTGTCTCATTCTCGCGAGAACGCAGGCGCTGAGATCGACTCGAGAGCATGATTAGAATGCGTTTTCGTCGACACGTGATGGCAGAGTAGGAGTAGATTTTTCTGTGATTCCTGCAATAGAGACGAAGGTGGTTCGATTGATTCGTGGTGGTGCTAGTTGCTAAGTTTTTCGCTCTCTTTCACTTCTTCTCTCTCTCTCTCTCTCTCTCTCTCTCGCTTCCGCTTTATCTCTGTCTCCCTACTCGGTTCTATCTTCCTCCGTCTATTTCCCCATCTACACAGGAGCACGACGGCTGATAGCATCTGGTGATGGCCAGAAACATCAAGAGACTTCCCTCGATTATCGAGACAGAGGAAGAGGTGATTTTGCTTGCTGTTCATCATCGTCGTCGTCGTTGTCGTTATTATTGTCATGGTCGTCGTTTGTGTTATGTCGCGTGTATCGCGCGCCACACCGAAACATCACTTACCTGTCCGCCAGGTAAAACCTCTATCGCTGTGTACGTCTACAGGTAATAATTACGAAAGACGCTCGATTATACCGACACACTATCTAATCAAAGCACCACGAGGAGGCGCTACCATCGTCTATAACTCGGTTTGATTTATACCCCGTCTATGTTCTATAAGGAGCTCAGTGGGTATGTCCCTGTCGTCGCCTGTTTTATCTAAGCAGGTGACTACGGTACCGTATCCGCCACATACGATATAGACTCATCAGGTGATAAAGATAATTTATAGGTTCTTGTATGATATAGACGACACTAAGCGAGGGTCCCCATAAGCGATTATGTGTCGACCTGACCGACTATTTAGATTTTTTAAAGAAATATTGCGTCTTACAGTTAAATGGCGTGTTCTCCACGACGCTACCTCACTGTTCTATACGATTTTTTGAGTTAATGTTTATCACTGCATGACGACATACCGTGGCCCATAGTATGTCAAATAGCGATGTGCCTCGTATGTGTGCATGTTCGACATGGCTATATATTGAAATTGCTTGACCCGTACGAGTCGAAGCTACGTGCACGCAAACAATTCTACGTTATTTGACTTTCAACGCTGCTACGCCTCAGTCAACCCACTGACGTTGAAGCATTAAGTGCCGCGAGGTAAATCCAGCTTTTGTACCTTTCTATTGAATTGCGATTCCAACCGGCTCGTTCGGTGATGAATTTGGCGGAAGCCAACGACGGCATGCACCATCGCGCGGACTAACTAGGCGTTCTCATCCGATGGGAAGCTGAGAGTTATTGGTTACTTAAACTCACCAGTCACTTCAATCAGCAGTGAGTCAAATTACCAACCACGTATGTGATAAAATGCTAGTGTTTGCTTTCACCGGTCACAGTTTATATATGCTAACTAATGTACTAATGACACCTTACGTTGAATAAGATGAGATAAACGGGTGTTTACTCTAACTTTCTATGAATTTCATTTCATGCCGTAATAAGAAATAATAGCAAGCGTAAGAGTATACTGTCGACGATCTCAAAATTGATTATTTATTATGCAGATTTTTTTGCTGCTGCTTAAACCTATGAAAGCAATTATGAAATCATTAAGCTGTCATTGTATAATAACGGCTCTTAATTGGTGTGCATGAAAGGGCAATAATCATGCATGAAATATTGATTAATTAATTATTAATCGCAAAATGTAGTTAGGTTTTCGAAATCACTTAACAGCAGCAACCTGTGCTTAAAACTTGTTCATATAGAATATTAACTGCCAATTAGCGATTAGTAAGAAAGAGATTGCGAGCGATCGTGAGAGTGCTAGAGAATAAGAGAGAGAGAGAGAGAGAGAGAGAGAGAGAGAGAGAGAGAGAGAGAGAGAGAGAGAGAGAGAGAGAGAGAGAGAGAGAGAGAGAGAGAGAGAGAGAGAGAGAGGAGAGAGAGAGAGAGTAGAGAGAGAGAGAGAGAGAGAGAGAGAGAGAGAGAGAGAGAGAGAGAGAGAGAGAGAGAGAGAGAGAGAGAGAGAGAGAGAGAGAGAGAGAGAGAGAGAGAGAGAGAGAGAGAGAGAGAGAGAGAGAGAGATAGAGAGAGAGAGAGATGAAGAAAGAGAGAGTGTGTGTGTGTAATGTCGAATCATATATACGACCGATGGATGCATTCACGCGACTAGTGGAACTAAAATGTTACGCCGTATATATCAAGCCATTACGTACGCACACAGAGAAATTGTGTGCTGTCTGTGTACATACACATACATACATTAAAAGCTTAACATTTAGAGACACCCGACGCGTTAGTATGAATTAATTAAATGACGTCACTCGCCGCTAGCTATCCGCGGCAATCGCATTACCGCTAGTTGGCGAATGTGACGCGATAATTTTAAGAACCTTTCAAAACAAACTACGGGCGACACCCTGCCAGTTAGGATTCACATCGCATTTCAACCTCAGGGAACGATTATTGGATTGCGTGAAGAGCCGCTTTTGTCCTGACGCTCTGTTTGCTTGTTTCAGATTCCCCTGATGACGATCAAAAACATGTCGGACGAAGATAGCGACGCCTATGACACAGGCCAAGGTTAGCGCGCAGAGTTCAGAGTTCAATCTTCAGCTTTGATTAGTAAAGCATGGGTGTCCCTGGGTCGCACCGTTCGGAGAACTGCTGGGACCGCTAACGTTTGACCTTGTTTGTCATTATCAGTCTGCGTCCTTATCAGTCTGTTGAAATTCTCACCAATCAGAGTGCGCCCTGCTACAGTAGGTGGCGTTGTTGCACTTGTTTTGCGGGTTTTCCGGCGTAAGGCCGACAAAGTGGCTTAACTTAGACAAAAATAAATAATTATAAATTATAATGGCTAACAGGGGTAGCTCTCCTATCAAACCGTGTTATCGATACATTAAACGGTACATTTAAGTATTTTAATCATTACATTCGTTTCTCTTTCGTTATTTAAAGCTCAATTATCACCAACTACTAGCCAACATAAGCTTTATAATTATATCACCGTAATTCACCATTTAGGGACACTAAAAGCCAAACAATTAAATTCGTATAAACTTTGCGCTCCTATTTACTGATGACTCGCGTGTATCAATCGACTAGTGTTACCTAGATGGTTCCCACGTCGTTTGACTCATGCAGCCCAAATCTATCGCAACGACGATGAATCAGTCTAGTGCCTATAGAACAAGTGCCATAACATCGCGAGATAAGAAAATTTGTGCAGCAACTACACAAAAAATCTTCAAGTTGCAGGAGGCAAACAATTCACTTGCGCATCTCAATAACCGTATTAACGGGGGTTTTAACCGAAGAAGATCATCGTCATAATGATAACAAATAGATGGCCCAGCTGCACACCGAAACAATATATTCGCGTACTCGTCTTGGGGATAAATACCTCGGTTACCTCAGAGGCACGGCCATGAAGATTAAAAAATGTATCGCGGGGAAAAATCAATTTTATTAAACGCGGGGATTAAGATACTCGACGATCGATTAGAAATAGTAATGTCGTGGTCGGCGAAATCACTGCCTATGTGTACGCTTCTGACGGATATACGCATCGTTGAATCTTCCCCGCCGTGCGCCGAGACGGTGAAATCTACTAATATTTGAGCTCGCTTTAAAATGCTTTTCGCCATCAATTTCACATCTAGTCTGGCTCCAGCTGCGCGCGGAATCACGGCGAACGGTCGACTTATTCATCGATAGTAATGTGCTCAGGGAGAATTTTCAGCATGTGTGAAGGGCTCATGCAGACAATTTTCGAGCAAGAGTTCTCAGGGAACATTTTTAATAATAATGACAAGTCATTACTCAAATATGCTTGAAATTCATGATATGGAAAGCTAGACTTTTAATATTTCGAAATATATGATATCATATATAATGCAAAAAATGTTTAAATTACGCATGTAAATTAATTCGCTGACGTTATTTGTCCGCGGTTTCATTTTCGCATATAAAAATAGTATCATATCTATTGAAAGCCGTACAAGAGCGATAATATCAGAAGTGTCATAATATAGACATAACATGATGACTATATAATTATAGACATAATATGATGACTATAATATAATTATAGACATAACATTATTATAATGACTATATTATGACATTCCTGATATTATCACGTAATGGTCGCTATACAGTATAGCACATCGGATCGGCGCTTGGAGATATAACACAGGTTTCAATGAATGAACGTTCTTTTACTTAATGGCGTTACCTTGCTATACGTGGTTACGTATACAATGCTATTTAAGGCAGAGATCGATTGGTTTTACGCATAGTTCGAAATTTCTTGATAAAACTAAACGTCTTATTTTACTCTCTGTAAGACTGCGGCAATTATTTCATTCACACGTTGCCAAATGAAATGAAAATTAACTATAATTAACACAGGAGGATATAACGTGGTTCCGTGGTAAAGTGCGATCGTTAATACACCCACCAAATTGAAACGTCGCCACGTAGACACCCAAACGTTCTCCAAAATCGAATTCGAAATAATCCTGAGCATAGTTGCTGGCAAAAAACATTAACGCGTAGTATCACTATAGCGCTATATCACGCACATATTATACGCATAGTATATTATGCGCTATGCACTATATTATGCGCGTAGTATAACCGTGTAGTATCACTGTGTAGTATCATTTGTGCGTATCACTGTGAGAGCTTCATGATGTGAATGAATCATGACTAAATGATAAATCGAATCCTCATCCTTAATAGCTCGGGACGGCCCGCCGTCTACAGACGGACCTTACACCCGATACACGTCTCCTAACAGCAAGAAACACCATGGCTTGCTCATTAGTAGAGTCTGATGTTTCACTCACGATGATGGATGTAACTATTTAAAATTCCTGAATCTCGCCGGTGGTGAGTTTCTAACTGCGTTTGCTTCCTGATTTTGCTGCTGGGTTAGTTATAGGCCAGCAGATGTATACGCGTGAACGTATAGAAGTAGATTTAAAGGTTGCATGTTGCGTAATGAATAAATCATAAGAAGTCAATTTTTGCCACGAGTAAAATTGTGATATAGTACGTGGCTGCGTGGATTATGCACAAATTTAATGTTTCGTGGCAATTCACCATTAGTCAGTAGGCCTACACAAATTACGCGCTGATACAAAACGTGAGCACACACTCTACGAGCTGTGGCCATTTGTCTTACATGCAAACAGGATTGATTGCGTTTTGCTACAAAACATCCGAAAGACTGCTCGCTCTAAATCCTGCATCTATTCCACCGGATTCCCTTTATCTAATATTGAGATTGTATTTGCTATACCAGTGTATTTGGACTGCATTAACTGGATCTAACTAAATAGGTTAGTGTCTAGATTACACATACAGTCGATGATTCCATTTGTACGCATGCGGACTCGGAAGCAGGCATGAACGTAGGACGTGCTAACCACATTCATGATAGCATTTCTGCGCCTCATGCCTCATTCGGATCCATCCGTGTGCTTAAAGATACTTATACTCAACGTGCGTAATATGCGAACAACACCGAGGCACCTTAATCACAGCAACACGACAGGGGAGTATTCTATATTGTTAGTTAGCGATGAAGCTAGTTTTTTGCTGCATCGGAACCATTTTATAAATTTTTATCATTTTATCCGGCAGTAAACTCGTGCTCAGCTTAGTTTGAAGCTGCACTCATAGTGTAGGAGATAGCAGAAAAATCGTGCAAATGATGATACAAGCATCAAACTTGGCACACTTGTTCTCCAAGTGATACTAATCAAATCTGCCCGATTGGCCAATTGAAAATCCAAGATGGCAGCCATTTTTCAAGATGGCCGCCAAATTAGCCTCCCGAAGTTGACGTTTTGTTTAGAAGTATTTGTAGTTGTCCTATTTGCATGATCTAGGTGTGGATTCCTATGTTTTCAAGCCTGCTGAAGTAGATTTTCCTGTTTATAAAGCACACCGACACATATTTTTATCACTTTGCACATTTGTTTATTTTCATACGCTTGCATGGCTATGGGGTGTAGGGGTGTAGTGTTAGAGGTAGTACCTTTGTTTCAGCAGTCAGCCACATCCATTGGATTGACTACTGGCACTGGTCCTCACCACTGGCCCAACTCTCATCTATGGCTCGAAATCATAATCCGACTGCGACCACAGCTCAAACATCTTTCCATGGTGCAAGTGTGTCCATTTTCCAATATCCAAGCACTGGAAATGCTGGCGATGAACGTGAGCCGCTCAAACTAGAGTCAGAAATAAAGGTTAAGAAAGTTCCAGAGCTTCCAGAAGCATACACCAATATTCGACCAGCATACATCACGAAAAACCCCAATCCTCCTCCAGTAGCAAGCCAATCCTTACCAGCACCCGAGTCGATCTGGCCACACTTGAAAGAAGAATATTCTTGGTTGTAGGAAATCTTCCTCACTGAGGATGTGGTTGATGCAGTCAGCATCACATGGTCAGCCCACCATGCAACGCAGAAAAAAAGCCATCCATTTGAAGTGAGCATTTCAGCAATGATGCCTCTGTGACGAGACCAGGCTCACTCTGTTGCAACGATCAAGCATGCCATGGCGAAGGTCTGTGATACAGTGGCTTTCCTGAACCCAGGGCAGACACCTGTCATTGCTGCTGACCAACCGATGTATGATCTGGCAAAACAAATACAATGGAAGTGGCCCGAATATGGAGAGGACAAGTTCATGATCATGTTCGGTGGACTTCATATAGAAAGGGCTGCCCTGAGATCGATAGAAACATTACTACGGAACAGTGGCTGGGCCAGTGCCATTGTGGAAGCAGATGTGGCCTCATCTGGTGCAGCAGAGGTCTTACCTGTCTGCATCCAGTGTCACCAAGACAAGACAAGCACACCAGATCACTGCATGCAGCTTGTACAAACTGATGAAGAAAGCATACCATGATTACCGGTCTGAAGAGTCTAGCATATCAGATATAACCTTAGAGGATTGGTGTGAACAACGGAAAAAAGAGAGTTTGCAGTTCCAGGTCTGGTGCTGGACATGGAGCTCACCATATTCACCCTGATCCGCTTATTCAGAGAAGGCGACTTCAACTTGTACCGTGAAGCACTTTCAGAACTGGTGTCTTACTTCGTGGCAAATAACAATGTCAACTATGCGCGATGGATCCCAATTCACCTCTGAGATATGTCACCTCAAGATGAGTCACTTGAGCAACAACATCCAGATGTGGCCAGGGAGCTTCACAAAGGGAACTTCGCCATCCACAAGTCAAGAAGAAAATTCTCTGCCCTGGCGATCGACCAAGCACACGAGCACAATAATGCAGTGATCAAAGGTGACGGAGAAGAAATTGGGTTGACAGAAGACCAGTCAGCCCTTTGTAGATGGTTGGTCGATGGACCCGAAGTTAGTCGTCTAGTAGCTAGATAAGAGGCCATGTCTGGTATGAAAGATGCCACCTACAACAGCAGACACCATGAACAGACACTGAGTGCCCAGAAATTTTTCTTTGAAAAGGTGAAATCACTTTCTGCAGTGATGCAGGAGATGGGCAACCCATTCCAAGAAGAATCAGCCGACCTGCTGGTG